ATGTTTTTTTAAATCTTGTACAGCCCTATATGTGATAAAGTTTCAGTTTAATTTCATATCTCAAATTAAGGGTCCACTGTAAGGCCAAATAAGGCCTATCGTCGTCCCAAAAATATTGCTCAAGATGGTGTTTTTACTAAGGCCCAAAACTTAAAAAAACACAAAAAAATTAACTTTACTCTTTTGAGATCCTTATCAGATGTGCAACAATTTGATGCAGTATCGCAATTCGAATCCGATTTTTTAATGTAGATGTACTCTAACATTCTTGAAAAAATGCAAAATGATATTAATCAAGCTTTTCATTTCTGTATCATACACGAAACAAAATCATTCATTATACTAAAATTTATCAAAGTTTGAATAATGAAAAAAATAATATCTAAATTTTTACATTGAGTCGGCTATTGATATGGTCAATATTAAATCGTTTAAAAATGGGCATTGGCCAGAATAATACCCACTAAAATACACATTTTTTTAAATTTTATCAATTTGTTTTGGTATATCTTTATGATAATGAATAAAATGCTTATCTTTCATAAGTAAATACATAATTTATGCTGAAACACAAAAAATAACACGAAAATTTTTTGCCAACATTTCAAAACTAAGGATAATGTTTTGAATATATAAACAATAATACTTTGTCTGGAGAATTAAATTTGTGCTATCCAATTGTCAATCCTTTGAATTTTTTATAAAATGCACGATATTCCGACATTAGCCTCTTTAAATATAAACTCCATGCATCACAATATTAGGATGTAATGACATTAAAGCGAATTTCCTAATTTCTTCTCAATTTAATTCGGGCGCGTAAAGGGTTGAGAAGTTTACACCATAATTGAATAGTTTATGGCGTCCTGAGAGGAGATTTCAATGGGTATGGCGTCCTAAAAAAATAGAAGAAAATGATTTTTTCTCGATTTTTCTAGAAATTGAATTTTTTAAAAAAGAAAAAAATCAAAACGTATACATTCAAGAAAGACTATAAATGAAGATTTTTCTATTTTTTTTTCATTCTAAAACATCTTTTTTTGGATAATTTTTTTTTTAATAAATATGTAAGAAAGATTGAAGAAAAAGTAAATTTACTTTAAGAAAATTCGTTTTACATGATGTACGACCCATAACAACTATAAATATTCAATTATTTAAAATAAAAAAAGAAAAACAGATTAAATGTATCTCACATCAAAATCCATTGACCTAAGGATGTTAAGTTTCTGTTTTTAAAAGTTGATATTTTTTTTTTAATTTTAAGAAAATTAATAGCATGTTATTAGACAATAGGAGTGTAATGATATTGACTAAACAGAAATGAGAGAATAGAGATATAATTTTGATAAGCAATATTAGTAGTATATGTTGACGGGTTGTGTGACTTTTTTTGTAAACGTAAGAATTCATACAATATTGAACGATTTTGTATCATTTTTTTTAACATATGAAGTAAAAAATGTATGATTCTTACGGTTTTTATTCTTACGTTTTTGAATAAATCAAGATTTAAAAATTTTCAAAATTGTAAGACATTTACACTCAGCCCATAATGAAATAAAAGATAAAAAATTGACTTCTTACGTAAAATTAAAACTAAGTTAAATTTATTTTTTTTTATTTTTTATTTTATAATAAATGAGTATAACAACTAATTCATTGAAATCTTTAAAGTTCACTAATTCAGAATTAGAAAATATTTTAGAAAATTTTGGAGACGGTTCTTATCCAACATATATGCAGAATGTGAAAGAGTTTTCCAGATTGTTGAATGAATTTAAATATAACGGACCAATTACTAAAAAGGCTATAATGAGATATTTATATCCCACAAAAGTTGAAAAACAGGAGAATATTCCTCTTTATGGTCCAGAGGACCTGGGCTCAGAGAGCCTTGAAACACCTCCTGAATATTTTGAAGAAAAAATTAAACAAGATGAATATTATAACGATGAGATTGAGAAATTGGAACAATTAAGAAATGAAATAGATGAAAAAATTAAGGAATTAAGAGAAGTTGAAAAATATAATGAAAATGAAGTAGAGGGTTTAATGAATATCCCAGCTTCAGAATCAGAAGTTCAGAAATCTCATGAAGAAAGATATAAAAATTATGTCTTAGAATCAACACAAAATTTATTAGATGGTGAAATAGATGAAACACTTTCGGAAGAAGGTATTAAATTTATTCGTAAACATAAGTTACAATTTATTGATAAAGAAGAATACCCTTGTATCTTACTTTCACCCCCTCTCGATTCTGAGAAATTCAAAAAAGCTCTTAAAAACGTAACATATGCAACAAATACGATTAAGAAAGAAGACCATGATATTTACACAAATTATTATTTAAATAAATGCACAGGTGTTGATAAAGTTTTTGATTTGTTAGATAAAATATCAAAAGAAACAATTGGTACATATAAAATTTTATGCGATTGTGGTTTCATTATTGAAGATACTAATAATGTTTCATATGAAAGAACAGCACCGAAGGAAGACGAAGTGGAAAGGTCTATACCATTCGTTATTAAGAACATAAAAGATATGAAAACTTATAAACATTATATTTATTCATTTATTTCAGAAAAAATGGAAGCAACCCATAAAACATCTTCTCATCATTTTATAGCTATTCATACATTCCTTTTCAAAGTTGTGAAATTAAATAAGACAGGAATTAGATTTAATGTATCAGGGTACACATTCTTGAGTAAATTAAAATGTATTCGTCACGTCGCGGATGATAAAAATTTATGTGTTCTTAATTCATTTTATGGGCTTTAAAGAATAAACTTTATTTTTTAATTTTTTTTATTCTTACATAAATGAACAAAAACGGAACAGCTAAAATGAATGATAATCAAATAAGAGCCGAAGGTAGAAGGTTATTTAAACGCTTCTATAACATTCCTGATGGTGTTAATCCTAAAACTCGTAGAAGCTATTTAAATGAAGCAATAGATGCATATGAAGGGTTTGACATTTCATCAGAAAGTGAGAGATTAGCGAGAATGTTAAATGTTAATATTGATTTCTATTATTGTGATCCTCAACCAGAAGACGTGGACATAAATAAGGTAGACTTTCCATTAGTGGATTCAATAATGATAGATCCAGAATTTGAAACAGTAAATATTTTATTAACACAGAGTCCATGTGGAAAACTTCACGCTGACAGAATAACAGACGTTGAAGCACTCACCGGCTATAAAGTTTGTCCATATTGTAAAGAAGAAGTTTATTCTATCCGTGATGATCCAGAAAGGAAAAACCAAAGAAGATTTTTAAAACATTGTGAGAAATGTAAAGAAAATAATGGAAGATTAATTCAAGACGTTCAATTGCAAAACACACAACAACCATATACACCACATATCACGAAACAGAAGATATATCAATGGCTATTAGCACATAATTTGCAGGAATATTATAAACCAACAAGATATTATATTACTTTTGACTTCGAAACATTAGAGACTAAAGAAGAACTTCAACTTTCTGAATGTGCAACTTTGAACGCTTACTTAAAACCATTTATGGTATCATCAACTGTCAAAATAAAGCCGCAAAGCGGTGAGGACGTAGACCGTGATAAAACATTTACGAGGAATTTTTGCTTAACTTCGAGTGATTCTTTTATTTCTGATTGGATTGAGTTTTTATTTTCAACCTGTTCATTAGTTGCTAAATCAAATATTGAACAATATGAAGAATTAATGAATACATTAAATGAGAAACAAAAGGAAGCAATGAAAGAGCTTTTAGATGAAGAATTTAATAAAGTGAATATCATTGGTTTTAATTCGGGAAAGTTTGATTTAAATTTAATTCTTCGTGATTTAAATACTGCAAAATGGAAGATAAAATCAATGCTGGGTTCTTCTTCTCAATTTAAGCAAGTCATTGTAAAGAAAACAAACGTTCCATATGAATTGAGATTTATTGACATCAGAAATTATATAGCGGGTGGAACATTAGACCAATTCACTCAAGATTTCGGAAACAATAAATCACGTGTTAAATCCTTTTTCCCTTATCAATTCATCACATGGGAGAATTACGAAGAAGAATTATATAAAAAGGAACCATTCACGAAAGATTCATTTTATTCAGCATTAACACAAGAAACAATATCCGATTCAGATTATCAAATATATCTCAATGATGCTAAAAACTTTAAGAATAGATTAGAATATTTTATTCATTATTGCAATAAAGATGTTGAAATTATGATTGACCCAATTGATAAAATTATTGAAGAAACATTTGTTTATAAAATTGATATGCTTCATAATCTTTCTTTATCATCGAATGCTTCAATGATTCGTTACGCGTTAGCATATAAGAACTTCAATCCTAACGAAACATATCCAGAAGAAGAAAATGTGGAATCAAGTTTTGAATTAACGAAAAAGTATTGGAAATATAAAATTGAATCATATAAGAAACAAGATGAAAAGGCGAAAAGAGATACTAAAAACAATGTTTCAATGGATGATTTTCAATACTATCACGATTTAATCCTTTCATCTAAATGCAAAATGTGTGGTAAAGCGTTTACATATGCAAATAAACCAACATTGGATAGAATAGATAATGAAAAACCACATACCAAAGAAAATTGTCAGTTAATGTGTTGTTATTGCAATGTCGTAAAATCAAATAAAGATGAAGATGTTCAACGTTTAAGAATCAATTTAAGAAATTACACATTAAAAAATAATTTACCAATGACTTTAGATTCAGTTGAAGCTTATCACATTCTCCGTAATGGAATTACTGGTGGTCTATCAAATGTTCAACATCGTGTTAATCTTAAAGGAATCACGCACATTAATAAACTTTCATATAATCCAGAAACTAAAACTGTATCAAATGAGGACACCACCAACATTATGACTCATTTCGTTGGAGTTGACTTTAATTCATTATATCCTTCATCATTTTCATCTAATCCTCATGATTTCATTCAATATACTGACCATAAAATGTATATGCCGGGAAGATTGAATGGTGTTATCATTTGTGATACAGCAACAAAGAAAGCAAAAGCACTGGGAATTATTAGAAAGAAAAATACTTTATTCGTGGCTGAAGTAAAGGGTCACATTGATGAAAAATACATTAATGATTACATAAACTTTTTACCAATAATAAGAAACTTAGATATTATCACAGATGAAAAAACAATTGGCAGTTTTATGTATAATTACATGAAATCAAACAATCTACCAGTTGACCAGAAACAGAGAAACTTAACTCAGTTAGCATCAACACACAACCAATATCAACCATTTTCTTCTTATTATCTATGGTATCTAATAGACAGATTTCATTTTATCATCGATGATATTCAATCAATTTTAACATTTACGAAAAACACTTGTTTTAATGAATTTGCGAATGAATTTATGAACGAAAGACAAAAGGCTGAATTAGAAGGAAATAAAGGAAAAAGTTTATTTTGCAAGATTTCACTTAATGGATCATATGGTTACGATGCAATGAATACACAAAATTACGCAAAGACTAAAATAATGAATGCACAGAAGTCACGCGTTGCATGTATGTCAAATAAGTTTAAAAACATAAGAGAAATAGGAGAGGATACATATCAAGTGATGCTTAAAGATAGATTTTATAGATGTGAAACATGTTTACAAGAGGCATTCTTCACTTTAGATAACGCAAAATACTGGTATTTGGTTTTCATTTATGATTTTATGTATAAATGCATGGATGTTAATCGTTTTCATTTCATTGAAGGTGATACTGATTCATCTTATTGGGCAATCGCTGGCGACCCAAATCTTCCTAACACTCAAGCATTTCAAGCAATTGTTACTGATAAACAATTTTATGATAAAAACATTTTCAAATTCGCACCATTTGATTTCTTCTGTTTTGATGAGAAATTTAAACCTAAATTAAAGAATAAAGCTGAAGAAAAAGCACATGAGAAGAAGTTATTGGGTTTAGCAATTGAGAAACAAGGGGATAACATGGTGGCGTTATGTCCTAAATGTTATACATCATTCAACGGTTCAATTGATGGAAGTGATTTTAAAAAGATTGCACAAAAAATGAAAGGTGTTAGTTTAAGACAAAATAAACAATTAACACCTAAAAATTATTTGGATATAATAAATGATAAATTGATATTTGATGGTCAGAATATTAATTTACAACTTAAAAATGGGTCAATGACTCGCTTAACAATCGGTAAGACTGCATTAACAGGAGCACACACTAAGGCTGTATGTTGTGAAAATGGATGTTGTATGCCATTTATTTAATGAAATGCCACAGAAGAGACAAAGAGGTGGGCACCCTTAAACATTTATTTTATTTTTATATAAATGGATAACGTAGATTTAAAAAATTTAATTGATGATTTAGTATTTAATCAAAAATTTCTTAGTTATTATGAATTAAAATCATATCTCCAAAAATATAATGAAGATATAACAAGTGATGATATGGATTATTATTATCCATATTATAAAAATGAAATTTTGAAATATCATGATAGAATAATTTCTGAAATTAAAGACAAAATTAAAAATAATGAATATTCAAAGGGAAAAACTAAATCACAACTTAAACAGTTGAAAGATTTCAAAAATAAAGTATTAACAGAAGAAGATATTGATGAATTATATAAATTATATAATCCTGAGCCGCAAAACACCCAGGTCCTTCAGACCATAAATGATGCACAAGCTTTAATTTATGATTCATTAGTTAAACCATATTCAGCCCGACTTTTAAATGAAGATCAACTTTTGGAATTCATCCTTCAACATAAACTCGAAGCGGGAAAGTATATCAAACCTTTATATACAGCATATTTAAAACAAATGAATAAAATACATCCAGAATTAATGAAGGAAGGAATGAAATCCAAAATCAAAGCAGATAAAATTAAACCACTTGCAACACCAAAACCTCCAACGACAGTACCGCCTCCTCCTTCAGTTAATCCTTCATCATTCACTTTATTATATCCATTTCAAACATTAAAGAAACAAAAAGATTTTAAAAAGGATTTCAAGATATTAAATAAACCAATTGACCCAAAAATTCAACCATTAAAGGAAAAATTTAGTCGCCCCTCATTTGCTCCATTTCCATATTCATACGAAATCGATCATCTGGAATATTCAAAAGGAAACGTTACTTATTTATTTGCCATTAACATTAACACTAGATATTTATATTGCATTCCAGTGAAAGGGAAAACAGAACAGGAAACACGAAGAGCTATTCAATACTTACTAGATCATGAAAGAGTAGATAATATCAGGGGTGATGGTGATAAAGGATTTCAGGCAGCTATGACTCATTATTTCCCACAAATTAATTTTTACTTTTCATCCTCTCCATATACGTTTCATAATAAAATAGTTGATGCAGTAATGAGAACTCTTAGAGATGCGTTAGGGGTTAACGGTCAGATATACTGGGATGGAAATCATGACTCCATCATACAGCAGTTAGTATATTATTACAATAATACATGGCATAGAACTATAAACATGAAACCAGTGGAAATGAAAAATGATATTTCAAAAGAATGGGAATATATTAGAAAGCAAATGGAAAGGTTAAATGATGTTAAACGTGAACAAATTAATTCGGGGCTCATGAATTTTAAACAAGGGGATAAAGTTTTGATTCATCTCGATTATGGAAAAACTGATAAATCAATGACAAAAAGAAGACGAAGATTTGACACAATAGCTGAATTTGTTAGATATATTAACGGTAATGTATTAGTTGAAGTTGACAATAAATTAATAGAAATTCCGATTTATTTTATTACTCCATTATATTTAAATAATATTTAATTTTTTTTATTTCGTAAGAAATGAGTGACAACGAAGCAGTCAAGAGTCCAGACGATGAATATAAAAAGAAACTAAACAGAATTAAATCAAAAATATGCTATTACAAAAAGAAGCCACAATGCGGTGGGGTTGATGCCCATAAAACTAATGGAACTGAAAACGATGAAGAAATAATCGAAAAATTAGAAACTTACCGTTCAATCCTTAAACTGAGTGAAGCAAAAATAAAAGAATTTAATAGAATAAATAAATTGATTGGAAGAGATGAATTTAATAAAGATGAATTTTTAAACTCAATCCAAATTTAATTTTTATTCCTCTTTGACAACATCTCTCTTTCCATCATTACTGCATAACCACATTTTCTCAATTTTAGTGGTTTGTTATTTTTAACATGTTCTTGCATCATTTTTATCATTTCCTCCCTTGTTATGATTCGTGGTAAATTTTGAGCTTGTGGGGTATCCATTTATATAAAAATAAAAATTTAAATTATGCCGTTCTAAAGTTTGTGACAACATGACATTTAGACAACAACACAGGAGGAAGGCAGTTATGAATTATTTTTGAAGAACTGAAGGTGCTACCATGTTACCATGTTGACGACATGACATTATGTCAACAACATAGGAGGAAGGCAATAATGAATTATTTTTGAAGAACTGAAGGTGCTACCATGTTACCATGTGCTACCAGGTCATTTAACTTCTTTTAAAAAATGAGACAACATGACATTTAGACAACAACACAGGAGGAAGGCAGTTATGAATTATTTTTGAAGAACTGAAGGTGCTACCATGTTACCATGTTGACGACATGACATTATGTCAACAACACAGGAGGAAGGCAGTTATGAATTATTTTTGAAGAACTGAAGGTGCTACCATGTTACCATGTTGACGACATGACATTATGTCAACAACATAGGAGGAAGGCAATAATGAATTATTTTTGAAGAACTGAAGGTGCTACCATGTTACCATGTGCTACCAGGTCATTTAACTTCTTTTAAAAAATGAGACAACATGACATTTAGACAACAACACAGGAAATGATTTGTCATGACTTCATCGGAATGAGTGTAAATGACCCAAAAATAAAGTTAGTTTTAAAATTATTTTTATTTTTTTATTTTGTATGTAAGAACAGAAATGTCAGTCGAAGCAAAAACATTCACTAACAAATCTAATGGCGAAACATTCACAAAAGGCACTTATAACGGTATTGAAGTCTTACGTAGAGACAAGGATGGTTACATTAATGCAACAAAGATGGCAAGAGAAGCAGGAAAGTTAAACCATTTAAACAGATTTCTCAATAGTGCTAAAATACAGGGAATTCTTGAGTTTTGGATGAACGAATACGGTGGAGCCAAAAGTGGCTCGACCTCAAAACAAGCATTTTATGAGCTTACTAAGGGTGTTATAAATGAATTCAAAGGTATTTACATACATCCTGACCTCGTTCATTTTGTTGCTGAATGGTGCTCTGTAAAGTATGCATTTTATGTCAAAGATATTATGGACTCCATAGACAAGAAAGTTCATGAGAAATTAGATGAAGAAGAACTTGAAGATACAGTAGAGAATGCTAAACCTTTGTTTGAAGAAGAAGTTGGAAAAATGTGCGAAAAACAATTAGAACATGAACGTGAGTTATGTTATGGTTATAGAGATTCTCCATACGAACTAGACCAATGGGAACAAGAAAATTTAAAGAGAGAATTTAGAGAATATGAACTCGCTAAGATAGCATTAGAAGCTGCAGAAAAGAAGTTAAAAGCTTGGGGTTGTTTTGTACAAAAATATTGTGAGTAAATGAACCATTTATTTTTATTGAATTCACCAAAAATAATTTTTAGGGTAGATGGTTAGATCTAACCTCATTTCTAACCTCATGACATTTTGACAACAACACAGGAGGAAGGCAATAATGAATTATTTTTGAAGAACTGAAGGTGCTACCATGTTACCATGTGCTACCAGGTCATTTAACTTCTTTTAAAAAATGAGACAACATGACATTTAGACAACATTTACGAAAATATGATGCAGTCCAAAAATAAAGTTAGTTTTAAAATTATTTTTATTTTTTTATTCCTATATAAATGACAGTAACAAACAACAACAACAGCAACTATATCGTTTCTGATGAACAAGTTATTGATTCATTAGCTGAGGAATTAGTTGTGGCAGAAACTAAAACCCTCAACGAAAGAATTGGTGAAAACAAGATTGATTTACATAACTACCTCAAACATGATGGAGGAAGAGGAAGGAAAACTGGTATGGCTTTATTAGTAAATAAAATTTCAAATTTAACGATTATAGATGTTGATATCAATAAATCGTACAATGATGAACTTAAAGAAACAGTTAGAAAAGACATTTTATCAAAACTTTCGGATAAAGATGTTATCGTTAAAACCGCTTCAGGAGGTCTTCACATTTATTGCAACACTAATTTCTTCTATTCAACCTCGAACAGAATGATTAAATGTTATTCCTGCAATGATTATGATATCGACATAATGACTTCAATGGATGATTCAAAGCGTTCATTAGTAGTCATGGCTGATTCAAGAGTTCGCAAGAATGCATCAGAACCAATCAATACATACTCATTCATTCGTGGAAGTTACGATTCAACATTAACCAGAACAGTGAATGATATATTAAATGATTTGAATATTAAGGTAAGAGTTGAACAGAAGAACGAAGAAATAAAGACTATCATGAATGAAAACAAAGATGTAAACATTGACGATAAACTTGCCCAGAGCATAGTTGATGGCATCTGTGATTTTGAAGTACATAATGACGGTGGAAACATGAATTTAGAAAAAGAAATAACATTATTCACACTGTTTCAAGCTATTAATTCGTTACCTAATCATTTAATTAATGAAGCATACGATAACGTTTATAACTTCTGCAATTTAACAGAAAATGCAAAAAGTAATTTTGAAAAAGCACGTAGTAGATATGCACATTTAATGACTTCTCCATTTGTTTTAGTGAAGATTCTAAAACTATATCAAAAGGAATATTATGATGAATACGTTTTGCCTTTATTACGTAAGCCAAAAATAACATTTGATATCAAACTTGATGACTCGTTTTTGATAACAGATATTAGACGCAAGGCTGAAAATCATCAGTATAAAAACAGTTCTGAAGTAATTGAGGATTTATCACGTGTAATCCGTTTTGTAGATTGTGGAAACAAATATTTCATTCAAAAGGATTACAACATACACGACAAAATGAATCAAATATCATTCGTTCTTCAGTCAAACATGAAAGAGTCACTCAAAATGATTAAATTATTTAAAGAAGAAGGTAAAACCATAACAGCATGGGACGTACTACTAAATCAATTGTCTTCATTAACCGTTAAGGGTGTTTGCTTTAAATCTGATTCCCCAGATGTTTTCTCAACGTTTC